CACAAAGCCTTTTTACAATCAGTGAAAGGGAGAATATGCAGGTTTCCTGACTTCCCACTTAATCTATATAAAACTGTAAATGATAAAGAAATAGGACCTGATAATTTTAATTTATTGTTTGAATATATTCAAGGGATAGTTGCATTTTCTGAGTTGCACTCAGTGCATCATTGCTATCCAATAATATATACATTAATTCTGACCTGGCTAGTGTGGCTCAGTGTATTGAGCGCTGGTCTGTCAACCAAAAGGTCACCAGTTCAATTCCTGGTCAGGGCACATGCCTGGGTTGTGCGCCAGGTCCCAAGTTGGGGGCATGTGAAAGGCAACTGATCAATGTTTCTCTTGCTCCCTTCCCCTCTCTCTCCAAAGTCAAAATTAATCAGTGGCTGCTTTCTCTTCCATAGGAAGTACTAGAAACAGCTTTGATTAGACATCAGGAAAGCTGAGTTTTAATTTCAACCCTGTCAGTCCCCCATTTTTCTGACTTTCTGATACATATTGACAGTGGGATAATTAGTGAACCTGATACCAGAAGTTGATAATTTTTAACACCAACAAGAAAATAGTGTCTAGTAATAATCATAAAGTGAAACAAATAATAACTTTGATCCTTTGGTTAGTCTTATATAATATCATGTAAAAATATATGTAATTTAAATATATTATTATGTAAATCATTTTAAGTAACTAAAAGTAAACTTTAATAAAACTAAAATGTCTACAAAAGAAATAGAATAACTACTAAATTGTACCACTCATGTTTTTTCCTTGATTCATTCTTTAGTTTTAAGATAATGAATAAAAATAAATTTCACATTAAATATATTATCCAAATTCAGTAAAGCAGTTCATGTGTAAACTAAATCTGTACTTACCAAACAAAAAGTATTACATTTTGCTGTTTCCTTATGTTAAGTTGCATACATCAAAAATCTCATATAATGTCAGAATTGAAGTAACTCAAGTTCTTTGTCTTAATCACTATGATGGCTGTGGTACTGTTTATATTGAATCTACTCCTGAAATGTGGGACTATATATGGGTTGGAGACACAACGTACATGCCAAGTGAGTTTGAAAGATTCTGAACCCTTAGGAATTGATTCTCAACATAAATACATGTAGCTGATTCTGTGTGTGTGTGTGTGTGTGTGTGTGTGTGTGTGTGTGTGTGTGTGTGCATGAGAGAGAGAAAGAGAGAGAGTTATTAAGGGGCAATACTGAGAGTTCTTTAAATTATTTTCAATATAGAAAAAATAAAAAGAAGTGTTAATTTGAAGCTTACACCTGTATTATTAAAGTTCAAACAGTAATCACAGAAATTTTTTAGAGTTTAGAGCAGGGGTGTCAAACTCATTTTCACCAGGGGCCACATCAGCCTCTTGGTTGCCTTCAAAGGGCCAACTGTAATTTTAGGACTGTGTAAATGTAACTACTCCTTAACAAGGGGCAAGGAGCTCAGCACTGCCTCCAGGAAGAAACAAGGTGCTGGGCCGGATAAAACAAGGTGGAGGGCCAGATTCCATCTGCAGGCCTTGTGTTTCCCACCTGTGGTTTAGATCAACAATGTTTTTTTTCTCCCTGAGAGTAGTGTTTATTACTAAGCACGTGGCAATGAGAAAAAGAAGATTGACTTTAGTCCACCTGTATCATTGTTTTAAAATCTCTACAGATGATGTACTGCTTATTTTTCACTCCCTGCCACTTCCTAGTCCCTGGCATGCCTCTGAATAGAGGGCACAGAATCTCCTCTTCTCTGCTCAGCCTTTGGAATGTAATATTATTCCAAAGTGCACATTTTCCCATCCAGTTCTGTTGGGACAAAAAGACTGCATAGCCTGAACCTTGTAACCTCAGGACTCTGGGTCAATACTGAGGCTACACTGGGAAGTCCATAGGCAGGCTTAGGGCATGGACATCAGTAGTCAGAGAATCTTACAGAAGTTGACTGTGTTCAGAATCTTCTCTTAAAGTTCTCGTTTTGGTAAAAATTATCTGGTGCCACTTATACCTCTCTATCCCTCTCCCAAGTTGAATTCAGGATACAATTTTAGCCACTTTCCCATGGACCTGGTGGGCTTTCAAAATAAATCTTCATGAGATTTTTTGGAAGTAGGACATGTGCCTAAAGATGATCCAGTGGGCCCACAAATTAGATTTAACACTCAGGTTTTGTGCCTGTGGTAGGGTGTCCAACTAACTAGCCTTCAGATTGGGTGTACGCACTCAGTGGTTCAGTGATCACTGAGCGATACCCCGAGCTTAGGGGGACTCTGTGCAGTTCTTACCCCACTCTCAGTGAGGCGGCAGTACTCTGTTGTGTGGCGTTTTGGGTTCCAATAGTCCAGGCTGAATTATGACAAAGCATAGTTCACCCCCATAAGAAACTACTTGCAATACTGCATTCTGGATGCTTCTAAGAAATAAATATGTAATTATCTCTAAATTTCTTTTTTGTAACTGGGTCTTCTAGCTTCTAACTCTGTCTTTAAATAGTCCTATGGTTAATGATTTAATATATAGATTGAGAGTGTCCAGACCATGTATGATAATATGTGAAAAAAAAAAAGACAAAGAAGAATCTTAGTAAAAACCACCAGTTTGGGGTTTGATGATTTCTTGAGTTTGTATGTCTTCTGCTCCTTTTTTTAAAAAAATAAAAGACTAAAAACAATATTGGTAATTTTGAATTGTCATTGTATGTTGGAAACTATATTTTTAACTACTCCTAGAGAAAAATCCTACGAGATTGATGCTATTTATCATGTTGTAGAACTCTAACCGACAACCTCTGGAGCAACTACCCTTAGAAGTCGAACAGCAGGCTCTGAATCAGCCCACAGAGATCGGGACTTGGTTAATGACTGCCAGCCAGCTTCCCTATGGGTTTGCACCCTTCCAATTCAGGACCCACTGGAGAGCCCCTAAGCCAATTACATTAGAGGCCCCTCTAGACAGCCAACCCCCAGCTTTGCCATATCAATAATGTCCAGTTAGAGCATACATTGGGCCTTCCTTTTTTCGCTATTGTCAAAGAAAAATTGCACTAAAGTTTAAACGGATAGTAGACTTTGTTCAAGATTATTGCAATAGGGGGTAGAGATTGAACTCAACTCCTTTGAATCCAAAGGTGGGAAGGTTTCGAAGCTGTGGGGTGAGCTAGTAGAAAAGTACTGGGGAGACTTTAGGGGAGGCTGGTCACTGCCAGTAGGCCACCTGTTTACTGGCTGATGCTCATGAGGCTGGGCTCAAGCTCTCACTGAGACTGTGGGGTCAGGTTCTTGATTACCTTTCAAAGGGATAGCTTCCAGGTTGTAAAAGTTCCAAGAGGCTGGAAGATTTACATCTCAAAGTGCAGAGAAAGAATTTACATTTGCAAGTTTTCCCAAGTAAGTGCTCTAAGAGAAGGCAGGTCGGAGCCAACAGGAAGAAACCTGTTTAAAGCTTAGTCTAGCTGAGGACGGTGTGAAGGTCATTTCAGTCACCTCTAATCAGCTTTCCCACCGCCCTGCCTGCCTCTGCTTTCCCCGCCAAGCACAGGTGATGCTGACTGACTCTCTTCCTATATCAAACTCTGAATATTTTTGTATCCTTTTTTTTGTGTGTGAAGGCCGCAGTCTCCTAAAAGCACTCATTCCGTCGTATACTTAGAAATCTGAGTTAGAATTTAAAGTAATTCTTGCTTTGAAGTTAACCAAATCTTATGTTTTGTTATCTACTTACTGCATGGTGCCTAAGACTGATTATAATTCTAAAGCAAATTGAACTGTTTCTTTTCTCCACCCAGAGACGTTACAAAGTTCTTTGCCCTAACTAATGAACAAAGTACAGACTGGAGTTATAAAGAGGTCCACATGTTCACCACTTACAGCCTTTGTTTTCTTATCTGAATCAGTTGATTAAAATTCGGGCTCCACCTCCCCACCCCACACCTCACATCCTAGCAACTTATTATAAGTGGCTGACAAGTCCTGACCAGTCCGCCCTTAGAACTGTTGCAATTCTGCTTTCATTAATGACTTCCTGCCCTCCTTCCCTTAAGGGGTGTTTAAGGATTGTTTCATTTTCTTAGGTAATAAAAGAACCACATTTCCAAAATGCAGTCATGTGCTGCATAGAAGTATTCGGTGAAGAGGGACCACCATCTTAGATCCAATAAGACTATTGTTGGAGCAGAGAAATTCCTTTTGTCTAGTGACTTGGTAACCATCCTGAGTTACACTGCCAAGTGTTATTGATGTGTCCGGGGTGATGCTTGTGTGAACAAACCTCTTGCATTGCCAATTATATAAAAGTACAGCCCATGCAATTATGCACACTACATAATGCCTGACAATAATAAATGACCATGTTACTCATTTATGTATTTACCATACCTTTTAACATTATTTTACAGCATTGTCTTTCTACTTTATAATAAAAAAAAAAGCTTGCTGTAAAATGGTATGTTGTGTTATCCAGGGAGCAGCCTCATCACACATCTAGTGTTTAGCACGTTTCTTAATGGCATTATTTTCTCTTGTGCTTAAACTCGTATTGTTTTATAAATTTCGTGCAGCCTAAGTGTGCAGTGTTTATGAAGCCTGTAGCAGTGTCCAATGATGTCCTAGGCTTTCATATTCACTCACCACTCCCCGCCTCACCCAGGGCAAAGTCTAGTTCTGCCGGCTCCATTCCCGGTAAGTGCCCTATACAGGTGTACAATCTTATCTCTTATACCACATCTTTATTGTACCTTTTCTATGTTGAGACATACAAATACCCAGCATTGTGTTACAATTGCCTGCAATATTCAGTCAATACCGTGCTGAGCAGGTTTATGGCACAGAAGCCATAGGCTGTAGCATACAGCCTCGGTGTGCAGTAGGTCGTGTCATCTAGGTTTGTGTGAGTGCACTCTGTAGTGTTTGCACAAAAACGCCTTCAACGCAAAAACACATTTCTCAGAACGTATGTATCTCTGTCTGCTGCCACACATGACTCTAGTTTTAACTCCAATAATCAAGCAATGTTTTATTAGGAAAAACATGAGAATCATAGGCTTTTTAAAAAATTACAAAGCTTTTTAGATCTTTCTTTGCCAAGTCACTAATCAGTATATACTAGACTTTTTTGGTAATCTCTAAGTGTTTCCATAATTCCACAAAGTATCATTTCCATGGCATTGTTAACAATTAAGCGGGAATCTACGAACAGTAAAAAACTTTTTTGTTTTTGTAAGTGACAAAGTAGGATACAGGGCTACATACAGCAATTATGTCAGAGCTTCTCAGACTCGACTGTGAATCCCCTGGGGATCTTGCAGCTGCAGATTCTGACTCAGTAGGTCTGGGCCGGGCCTGACCTCTGCTTTTCCAGAAACTTCCCTGAAGGTGTCTGTGCTGCCGGTCCGCAGACTACTCCTTGAGTAGCATCAGCATATGTTAGTTTCATATAAAGATGATACTCCAATTTTACACTTAGTTTATGCTCAGAAAAGTGTATGTATTCATACATAAAAATAGAATGAAAGAAAAAAAAACCAGACTGGAAACATACCAAATATGAAAAGAGATGTGGGTTCATGGGTTTTTGTTTTCTTTTATTCCATTTTTCTTTTCCCTAGCAAAATAATATTTCCTCAAACTTTTCTACAGTGAATATAACTTTTTGTTTTAATAAAAAGCCTTTTCTCTTTCTAAGCAAAAGGCCACAAAGTGCTGGTGAGAACCAACAAGAATAAGAGCAGCAAGTCATATGTAATGAATCTCAAAAGTGGTGGAGTTGGGGGACCAAGATTTTGAAAGACATTGACTTGCCTGACCCGTGGTGCTTATGTGACTGTGATATTTGTCTCTTGGTCTCCTGAGGGGATGGGTGGCTTCTGGAAGTCCTTGGTGTGATTCATCCACCTAAGGCAATTTTAGATGGCCACATTTTCCGGTGAGACGGAGGTGAGAGCAGAGAGCCAGGACCCTGCCACTCTCGGAGACACCTCAGGATTGAGGATGCCCACGGCTCCCTTGGGACTCATTCCCAGGACACTGCAAATGGGAGAAGATCCTTAGGCTCCTCACAGGACAGGGTTCTGCTTGGATCAGGAAAACCTGTGAAGCAAATTCAATAGTACTTCAACTTCTCATATCAGGGAGACCTCTGTTGAAAGAAAGTCTGTAAGTGCATTGCAGGCATTTAACGGGGAGGTTGGTAAGTGCTTTAAAAAGAATTTGTACTTAAATTCTTAGAGGAGGTAAAAATAACCTCAACATATTTGGATGAAAGTATGGGGTGGGGGTTCACTTCGGGGGTGCTTGCATTAGGCATGGGTGCCATTAGGTGGTTTTATTTACTTGCAGCAAGTAAAGGAGGTGGGGTTCACATCCAAAGCCCTGTCTCCTTGGAAGGGAGCCTTAGCCATCACTAGATACACGGTTTGATTGACTGTATGTTTTCTTCTTTGCAGCTAGTTACACTTATCAGGTGGGTTTCAGTCAAGCTCGTCCTATTTACAGCTCTTTAGGAAAATTACATTTAGTAAGAGCTGGTCAGACCTTGAGACCCTTGACCTATCTAACAAAGGGAGTTAAGCTGACTTGAATAAATACATTTTAAAAGAACAGAGATACAATGAAAACTCATTGTGCTCATTCTTTTCTTCTGTTACAAAGAGAGCTGGTAGATTTAAAATCTCAGAGGGAAGACAAACTAACCACCAGAGCATTACATTTGAAATCCCAGAGGGAAAATAAACTGACCCGACAGGTCCTAAAAAGAAACTATTCAAAGCTCCCACCAACCAACAGGCACCAACAAGCAGTGTGTGACACCCCCTCAGAGACTCAAGCATGGTGCACGGTAGGATTTTGAACCTTAGGGTCAATCTTTATTACAAGATGTGGAGGTCATTTATCAGGAATTTAAGGAATGTATTTACTCATACATTAAGTGTTGGGAATAGGTAAGAATAAGTCTTCTTTCAGCAATGGAGAAAAGAGTGAATAAAAATCACTGGCTTGAGTGCCACAGGACTTCTGGGGCTGTATGCCTTCAGCTATTTTTTTTTTAATTAAATAAGAGACTCAAGCCTGGTGAGGATGAAAGTGAACTAAAAATAATCACACTAATGATAGGGGACTCAAAAGTTGGAACTTTTTTAGTTTAAGGTAAATAGGTAATAAGCCTAGTAGGTAAGGCATATGTTCAAGCTATTATTTCAGGAACTACAGGTACCATCAATCACTCCCCTGAGACACAGCCGACCTCCTGGGGCACAGCTGGAGCCGTCTGGAGCCAGACAGATGTTTCTCCCTGGGACAGCTGACCCCCAGGGTGAGAATGCTGCTCTTTAATCTAATTGTTCCTGAATTTCAAAACCCCTCACTGCACCTCGTTCTGTTATAAAAAGGCTGGCTTGGAAGGAGATGGAAGATGGTCTGTTAGGGCACAAACCTGCCGTCTTCTGAGATCACCAGCCATCTGAATAAAGTGCCCATGAAGACTCAGTCCCTGTCTCTGCTTACTGGGTTTGGTATGTGACAGGCAGCACAAATACCAGCTTTTCTGGTTTCACTGGTAATGATAATAGCTAATTTTGAGCCCTGGCTGGTGTGGCTCAGTGTATTGAGCACCAGCCTACGAACCAAAGGGTCGCTAGTTCAATTTCCAACCAGGGCACATGCCTGGGTTGCAGGCCAGGTCCCCAGTAGGGAATGCATAAGAGGCAACCACACATTGATGTTTCTCAACTCTTCCTCCCTCTCTTCCCCTCTCTGAAAATAAACAAATAACATTTTTTTTCAAAAAATAGCTAATTTCGAGCATTCACTTTATGCCAAGCCTTCTTCTGTTTTTCATTTAACTTAATCCTAGGGAAAAATAATCCTATGAGATTGATAGCATTTATTATTTAACAAATGAGGACACAGAGGCACCTAAAGATCAAGCACTTGCCCAAAGTCACAGCAAGAAGAGGTGCAGCAGTTTTAAACTCAAGAAGCTGAACTCTAGAGTTTGCTTCCACAGGGAAGGCAACCAGATGACGCCCCCATTTTTGATCCACGTCGAAGAGGATTTTCTTGTTGACTATAGTCAGGACTCTGTCATGTGGGGCATATGACTCATAACCAAATTTATTACATGAGGTGTGAAATCTGCCAAGAAGCTTAACCTCATAGGGGAGTCAGGCAGGGTTGTTGGGGAAAAATAAAGGTCTAATTTATGGTGCCTTTATTATCTTTTTGACCCACCAAGCAGTTTTGGACACAGATCAGCTCAAGTGCCAGTCTCCTGGGCCGGAGCACCGATAGCCAATACCCCTCAGCCCACAGGCCTTGCAGGACTCGGGGACTGTGGCACTTCTCATAAACACAAGTCAGGAAACTCAGGATGCCCTTGGCATCCTTTGACTCCCTAGAAGTGCCTGGAAAGGCCATTCCTATTTGTTACACAAGAGATGATCATCTCCTTGTCTAACTTGGTGCAGTTGGTTTTATCTAGAGTGACTGAAATATGTAATTGTTTATGCTTTTAGGATGGTTAGGAGCCTAGATACAAGGAACAGGGCAAGCTAGTTTACATTTACATCATATGTACAATTTCAGTACAAATCAACATGGACGTCCAGTCTCCTGTCTGGTTTTTGGCGGGTGTGCACTGACCACAGGCCTGGGACTCTGCTACTTGCCAAAGAGTGAAAGCCCTCTTTGTACTGGGGCTTCATTTCAATGTCGTCACTGGGCTAACTGTGTTGCCTTCAAACAGACTGCAACTCCGTTTTATATTAGAGACGATATCTAATCTATTTTGCACCCTGACTGGTTTTACCAGTAGTCTGAATTTTATGATTGACCATAAAAGGTTCAGTAAACTATGGCCCATTGGCCAGATCAGGCCAGTAACCCATTTCCTGTGGACTGTGTCCTAAGAATGTCTTTTACACGCTTAAATAGCTGAAAAGAAATAAGAATAATAGTATTTCATGACACTGGGAAATTATGTGAAATTCAAATCTTAGTGTCCACAAATAGTTTTATTGGAAAACAGCCACCTGTACTGTTTGTTAAGCAGATGTAGGACTAGCTGTGTGACCTACACAAGCCACATGACCTCTAGGCCAAGGTTGGCTCATCTATAAAATAAGGACATAGTTTACTTATCTTGCCTCCCAGGAGGCAAGAAGTGGATCAGAGTGTACTTGAAGGCATTTCAAGCTCTAAACTGAAATGGGGGGGGCGGCGGGGGGGGGGCAAAGAGGAGGGAGTGGGGTAGGGGACACTGTTGAACAGCTTACTCCTCATAAGCCAAAGTCCCCCTTGTCTGGTTAATTCCTGCAGTAACCAAATACCACCCCTCGGCCATCTCCAGAAGGAGTGCCTGGCTCCTCAGATTTCCGAACCAGGCCACACTACTAACAGGTTAACAAAGGTGGTATTAAATAAATAGAGGAATACGTTTTAGAAAAAAAAAAAGTTCCTTTCATGGCGCCAGAAGGAATAGTTTCCAACAGCATCAAGAGGGATGTCTTTTCAACAGGCTTCGACTGCATGTCTTACTAATAAAACAACTGCGGGCAACAATAAGACAGTCATTTTAAGGCAACCTACACATTCCTACTTGTGGATTAGGTTCATCTGCAGTATTTTAACACTAAAATATTTAAAATTTTCAGATTAACAGCATTTTTACCGAACTAAAGTAGACCTCTGGGGTAAAGCCCTTTTCAATGGCATCTCACTGTCGGGGCTCAGCCGGTTGTCGTCCCCACTTTTCCTGGCTCCTCTTTCCCCTCCTAACGCTTAAATGGCGGGCGGGGCGGGGGGGCGGGTGGTATGTGCACAACAGAAGGAAGTAAAAAAAAGTTTACTTGCTGCTGTTTTAATCTTCCCTTTTATTTTTACTTTACTTTTCAGCTTTTAAAGAACAAGCCCCTCTCCCCATCTCCCCCCATTCCCTTTGCAGAAAGCAGACCTCAAACTTCATTTCTGCTTTTGTCTCAAAGAGCAAATGGGGACACAGGAAAGAGGTCAAGCGAGAGGCATTGCAAAAGGAGAATTAACAACAGATTTTCTTATCTCAAAACTCCCACATTCTGTTAATTTCAAAATACCTTTTCTTCCCCTCTGGTGAAATGCGGGAGGTCTCCAGACCCTCACAGTATTTAAGCCACAGACGAGGTAATACGTTGTTTCCAGTTCTGTCTTCGATGTGCCCTGGGTGCCGTCGGCGGCCTCCCCGAGCACCCGCGCAGTCTCTAAAGGTCCCTGCCGTGGGTTAATTGCAGGTTGGGGTTGCAGCAGAGCGTTTTCTTTTCTTGAGGATTACCGTTTGTCCCTCAGCCCAGAACATTCCTGGGGCTCCTCCTTCCTGTTTAATCTCCTTGGGAAATCAGGTCCCTGTGGCCCTGGGAAGATCGTCTCTCGGCCGCGTGGACTCCCTGCGCCGAGGGCGCGGGGTTCCGTGCCCCCACAACCCGCCTCACTCCTTGTGGGTGCGAAACGTGACCATGGTCATGGAGCGCTCCTCTGTCCGTGAGGTCAGGCAGCCCTTCGTCCACGCGGTGCACAGGACTTCTTGTGTCACCTGATAATCCACCACCCGCACAAGCACGGATTTGGGTGTGGCTGCGGTGTCCGGCGGCGGGGCTCCGGCGGGAGGGTCCGTGTGGCCGCCGGGAACCCGCTTTTGCCGTGGTAAGCGAGGAGCAGGGCTGTCCGGGTCGTCTCCGCCCGCCTGGGAACCGTCCTCCCCACCGGCCGCCTCCAGCCGCGCAGGATCCACGTGAGTCCCCAGCCCTCTCTCTGGGTGAAGAAGAAAGAGCACCTTCTCTCTTACCCTGGACAAGGAGTCCAGATTCTGCCCGGCCCCGCAGTCCTGGTGGCCGCCGCCCGGGCGTCCGCCTGCCCCGGGATTCGGGGCTCCCGCGGCCAGGCGGGGCCCGCGCCCCACCTTGGGCGGAACGGACCCCGCTTGCCCCAGGCTGCGAGGGCAGCCCGCGCCGTGCGTGGCTCCGCGGAGACCCGGGGCCCCCATGCTGGTAGGGGGGTCATTCATTCGTCGGTCCCTTCGCTGGTTCCCGCAGCAAACTCCAGTCGCGCTCCGGAAAGCGCGGGACGCGCAGCCCCAGGTGTGGCCGCGCGCCCCCGGCGCCCCGCCCGCCGAGCAGGGGCAGCGGCCGACCGGCCCCCGGCCTCCGGGGGGCGGAACCCCGCCCCGCGCGCGCGCCTCCCGCCTGCGGCCTCCCACCGCGGGCGGTCCGCCCCCGCAGGACGAAGGGTGGGACGCCGCCGGTCGCTCCCCCGCCCCGAGCCCGGGACCTCGACCCTGACGCCGCGTCGTTTTTTCTGATTCCGTTTCCTCTCACTCTGCGCCACTCGATCCGGCTTCGCACTTTCCGAGTTTCCCCGGAGCCGGGCGCACGACCCGCTCCGACTGCGCACCTTCGAATTCCCCACAAAGGGCTGTGGGCTGCACGGAGGGCGGGAGGAAGCTTGCTCTTCTCCATTACTTGATCCGATTCCTCAGAAAAAGGCTGGCGTGTCCACTCCGAGCCCACCCCCACGGCGCCCCCAGATGACCGATGCAGAGGGAAGGACCGGACTCGGGGACGGCTGGAGGCCCCGAGAAAAAGGGGCTTTGTTCGCCCCTTTCCTCCTCCTCTGGACTGCGGCGGCCACGCCCGCGTCCGCGGGGGTTACCATCGGCGTTTATCCGGAGCAGGAGCTCAATGAGACCCAATGGAAACAAAACAAACACAAAATGTCCAGTGAACTTTAGGATTTAAAGTTTCGTGTTCTAGCCGTTTTTAACCCCCTCCCCCCTCCCCGCAGTCCCCCTTCTCTTTGACTCCCGGGGTTAAGAGTGTTTGCATCTCTGCGCAGGCTTTTGGAGGCTACTCGCTGCCAGGCCCTCCGTCCGCCGCGCTAACCTGTGCGGGAGGTGGATGGGGGAAGGCAGCTAACAGGAAAAGGGGAGCTTAGTTTGTAATTTCCAGTCCGTTCAGGGCAACAGGTGCTTGTTTTGTTAGAAAATGCTCTGTTTTCCTGTCTGCTTATGAAAATGACTGCAATAGTAGAAATGTATGCTCATGTATGAGGGATCAAGTAGAATGCCGAAAGCGACATTTGGAAAGACAGGACTTTCCCGATGTCTGCCAAGTTGTAGAACAGCAGCAGCAGCAAATGCGGTTGGAGTGAGAAAACTTGGGTCAGGTCCGGCTGGTCAGACGCCTGACCTTGGGCTGGCTTCTGCTAAGTCACAACTCAGTGAAGTTTTTGAGTGTCAGACAAGGACTGTTCTAAGCACTCTATATACTTAAACTTGTTTGTTCTTTACAACAAACCAAGGAAGTAGTAGTCTCCTTAAGAACTTTGAAGAACAGGGAGGCTTAAGTATTTGTCCAAGGTCAAGGACTGATGAACAGTGGAGCCAGAATTCTAACGTTTAAATGCTTGCTCCTATTATAAATTACCTTCTTGTTTTGAGCTACCTGGCTGGGTAGCTCAGTTGGTTAGAGCCTCCGTCCAATACACCAGGGTTGTAGGTTTCACGTCAGGTCAGGGCACATGTCAGAATCAACCCATGAATGCATAAATAAGTGGAACAACAAATCACTGTTCCCCCTCTCTTTCAAATCAGTTTAAAATTTTTTAAAATTAAAAAATTGTCTTCCTGTTTTAAGCCTATGACTTCATGTTCTTTCCTGTCTATTTATTTACATAACCAGTAATCATGGAGTGTGTGCTAAATGTCACCTGCCCTCCTCTAGGTGGTGGGGACGTCTGGGGGAACAAAGCAAGTTGCTTGTCCTCTTGAAGTTTTCTTCTTTTCGTGTAGTAGTACATCAAATTCTCTGTCCAAAAACAGGAGACGATAAATTAACTTTAATATACATGAAAATCACCTGTAGATTAATGCCCTAGCCTACTTTCAGGTTCTGTTCTTATGGCTTTGGGGCAGGGCTTGGAATACGGAGTTTTTATCAAGACCCTCAGTAACCCTGAAGCTAGTAGTCCCTGGACAACATCATGAGAAACATCACCAAAATCTGCACGGATAATCTCTAGGCCCTTTTTGCTGCTTTCAAATGTCACTAAGAACACTTTATTTTTTTTCCTTATAGGAATATTGGGGAGTTTCCAATGAAGAGGTCTGCTTTCTGAGGGAAGTCTAATATAAACCACAAGATTTATTGCACTTGTGCAATACTTCACTATTGGAGGATGGGAAACATCTGTTTGTTGAGAAATGAGACACATTCACCCATCATATAGCATCTGAATTTCTAGACGTCAAGAAGTTGTGTGTAAATGCATGAAAGAACATGAAGAGGAAATGCTAAATAAATTCAACTTCAGTGAGACAAAGTCTAGAAAGAATATGAACCAGAGAAACAGGTAGCTTGCCTCCAGGATGGTGGTGTCTGCCCGAAAGACTGATAAATGGTGCTAACATGGCCCCGTTTGCTTCCTCTCTGGATTGCCTATTACAGTTTCAGGCCAGTGAGGGATAGTAAAATAATTCATATCCCTGGGGTCTGAAAAGTCAAGGAAGACATGGTGCCCTGACAGCATCAAAAGAAGCCTGTCGTTGGCAGTGCAACCTCCCTAGGACCTGGCCCACTCACTTTTCCTGTTAGGTCCAGACCTTAATGTAAATTCTCTACTAGACTATCATTCTGTTATTTTAGTGCCTTTGCCTTTAGAAGATTTACCCTTCACTCGCATGCCTCTGGTTTTATTTTGTGGTTGACCTGAAAAGCTGGCCTCACGAACAGTTTTTTACTTGTGAAAAGACAACGATAGAACAGCCCTGCTGGCAGCCAGGCCTTGTTGGTACCTACTACACATACTCAACACTCACGTAACATAAACATTGTCCATGTAAAGGGCACTCTGTGACCAGAGACAAGGTCACTACAAAACCATAACAAAGATTAAGCCTCCCCCTCTTCTGGCTAAGTGACCCTGGCTGCTGTGCCGGTGATACCGCTAATCTTTTCCTGCTTCAATTCCCTTGATTAAAAAATGCCAAGGCACTGGTTCTCTGAGTTGTCCCATTTCCTGACAAGATCTAATCAAGCACTAGCTCCTGCTTCCTTGGAATCATTTAATTTAAGTCTAAATCCTATGAGAAGCCCCTCCCAACTCCACTTAATAAAATGCCCCATAATTTCTCAAGGGTACATTCTGACTTCCTGAAGCAGAGTAAATACATCAAACCTGATTTTTAGTGCAGGTGTGTTCCTGCTGCTCTGGCTGCTAGGATTTAAAGTTAGTTAATTTGGGAAGCATACAATGCCATGCCCTGAAATAAAATGGGAATATATGCTGGGGCAGGGCGAGGGTGGGGTGGAAAGTGAGGGGGTAAACTGAAGCCAGGATAGATTCGTAGTTATTTGGCTGCACACAAGTTGAGGTGACTCTGGCATTAAGAAATAAATCAATACATCTATTGAATCAATTCATTAATCAAATAAATTAACACATTAATAGGATTTCACTTTTAAGACTTAGGAAATGCAGAGTCGTGCAAAATGGACTGATAAAGAACTTTTCTATTCATCACATTGGTGACAGTTTGTGTTCCTGTATCTGGTTTGAAAGTTAGCATGACACTATTTTAGAGGGTCCTTGGTACATTGGCAGGTTAAGAGACTGTGCCTATGGCAGCAGAACTGTCTTTCAGCTCTGTTGAGGCTACTCTTAGGCTCACTTACTCTAAATGTATGTTGGTAAGTAAATTTGTTCAGATAATGTTTTCCATCTTTAGAAAGGAGTGAGCCTGTCACATCATGGTGGGTTGTGGTCACGCACACATCATTTTTACAGGAAATAGGTCAGCGGTGGTTCTCAGGGGTGGCTGTTTGTGAAACTCAGCCCTCTACTGATTCAAATACACCAGTCCATGGAGTGGGGAAGGTGCATGCAGGAGTATTTTTTTTGAAGCCACCCCACCTGAAAGGATTAATGGATCACTAGATAATAGAGCTTATTTGTTGTTTGCTAGATATGCATTCCCCACAAACAACTGTTATTCTTGCTAACATAGTAAGAATGTCATAAGTAAATGCAAGAATTTCTGTTTCTAGGAATTGAAAATCGCATTGGGGAGACAAAACTAATAGACATGAAACAGCCAAATTTTCTAATTTGAGTGAGATTGAATTGCCTCATCACTTTTCAAACTTGATTGCATTGGAATCATCTGGAGAGTATTTTTTTTAAAGTATCATCTGGCCCACTCTAAGAGATTTTTTTTCATTTATTGATTTTTTTTTAAAGAAGCAGGGAGGGGAGAAAAACATCAAGTTGTTGTTCCACTTACTTATGCATTCACTGGCTGACTCTTATATGTGCCCTGACTGAAGATCAAATACCCCGCCAGGGCCATTCTAAGAGATTTTGATTCAGTTGGCTTGGAAGGTAGCTTGGGGCCCTGACAAGTTTATAAATTGCTTCTCAGATGATTCTAACAGGCCACCAAGTAGGAGAACCATTGAAGTAGATTATCTTTAGGGCTATGACACTAGGAAAGAAAAGTTAAGAATAATATATGTATATATTAGGTACCACAATTAGTAAAAAAGAAGTTAAAGTAGAGAAAGCTACTGAAGGGAAGAAAAGAGGTGAGAGCTAGTGTAGTTAAAAAAGCTTCATGGCATAAGTGGAAATTTATGTGTATTGATTTGGGTAGGTACTCCAGTTGGAAGCTGTATGATGTTGGGTTTAAAGACAAGAATACTAGGTTTGCCAGTTAACTGTGATGGGGAACAGCATTTGCCACTGCAAAATATGCATTTTGGGATATTAGTTATTTTAAGCTACTTATTTTTAAGAAACAGAAGACTCAGTATGAAGTTTGCCTGCCTAAAGCAATACCTGCTCAAAGGAAGGGAGCTGTCCATGTTTGCACTCACTAGCATATAGAAACTCGGCCCGTTTGTTGGATGCCTCTTTGTGCCCATTGTTTCTGGGTGGACCAGCAAGAATTTGTTCATCACTTGTCTGTACTTTCTTGTCTACCTGTGAACTGCCTGCTTTCTCTTTGAAATCCTAGGCTCCTGCCTCCCTCTCCTTACTTAAGAATGGCATAGAAGCTTCAACTGCCTATGTGTCCTGTGGCCTCATTCTTATGTACTCCATGTGTAGAGGTGTAATAAATTGGGACATTTTCTCCTGTTAATCTGCCTCAGGTTAATTTGATTGTTATTCCTATCAGAGAAAGGTGGGAGAAAAATTTATTTTTCCACTCCCAAACTGCAATGTATGACTCATGTAGCACTCTGAGAAGTAGCTGCTTAAGTGAGGTTTCAAAACTGTAATTCAGCACTGGCTGCTGTGGTTCAGTTGATTTGCATACCGGCCTGTGAACCAAAGGGTCATCAGTTTGATTCCCAACCTAGGACCCATGCCTGGGTTATGGGCAGGGTTCCCAGTGGGGGACATGCATGAGGCAACCACACATTGATGTTTCTCTTCCTCCTTTTCTCCCTCACTTCCCCCTCTTGAAAAATAAATAAATAAAATATTTTAAAAAATTGTAATTCAGTGCCAGCTGTCTGCATTATTCAAAGCTTTAAAGTATATTCATCATCATTCTTTCCTGTCAGAGATTAGGATATAAGACCAGAGTTCTCTCACTGTGTATGAGT